AGGCACTGAGGCGAGAATACAGGCTCTTGGACTCCCCGAGGTTCCCGATAAAGCCTCCTGCCGGAACAAAGACATAGTCTCTAGGAGTGGGGCCTTTTAGCAATTTTAGATACTGGCCTCCATCCAGGTCAAGGCAATCCCGGAGGGACTCCATAGTAAATACTTCCTCCTTGAGCAAGATCTGCACCATCAGGGAATAGTCTTGCCTAAGTTGGACAATCGAACTAGGCAGTATTGTACCTATACCCAGCAAACAGAATCAGAAATATTTATATCAGTTGGGCTGCAGGGGGATGTCTTGGGGCAAAGAGTCCAGCAGATGCTTGTCGATGCTCTGGGCTTGCTTTTGAAGCTGTGGGTTCAGCTTCTGGAAGAGGGTCTCCTCCTTCTGATTCTGCTGCCCGGACGACTGCGGCTTGCCTCGGTTCGAGCGACCAAAGGGTCCACGAAACAAGTCGCTGTCCGAGGATTCCTCCCCCGGATCATCTTTCTCCTCGTCGTGGCCCGGCTTCCCAGTCTTGGGACCATCATCATCATCATCATCATCGTCTTCGTCGCCCGAAGCCTCGGGCCAGCCATCCTCCCGAAACTTCTCGGCATCATCATCACCCTCTTTCTCAGACTTATCATCATCATTTGGTCCGGCACCATCAGACTCTTCCTCCTGCTTGACAGCGGCTTTGGGAGCCCTCCTCTTTGGTTCCTCCTGCAAGATCAGAAAACCAGGAATGTATTGTACCCGAGACCAACAGCTAACAAAAAAGCCCTTGCCGTCTACTGTACCTATGCACGACGAAGTCCTTAGCCGTGCTCCCGGGCTTTTTCGAGCTCTTCAGGCTCGATTGGAGATCTTTGGTTGCATCCTGGCCAGCAATCTTGTACAGTGATGTAAACCTAGCCTAGCAGGAAGCAGCATTGCGATACTTCTCCACTTCGGCTTCCAAGGTGTTTTCCAGGTCTTGCCTCTTCCATTTCTTCTTCCTGCACACAAAGCAGACTACGGATTGTGTTTGGGGCTGGGGTGTAGAGGGCATGTAGCTTTAAAGTTGCTTGGATAGAGGTTCGGCCAACGACTCTAGTACCAGCCCATTATTTACGAGTATCGGGGCCATCGTGCGGATTAGTCGAAAAGCTCAGGCTCCGTGGCAACAGAGGGACTATTACACCTACCTGCATACTGCCTGCACTGACGGCGAATCATCGCCCGAAGCATCTTGGCCACATCCACCAGGGTCACACACTGCACGATCGTGACATTGCCGAGGCCACGGCCGGTGCCTCCGGAGTTCGCTTTTGTGAACTACAGGAGAATTGCAGGAGAGTTCGAGGAGCTAGATTTATTCTGGTTGGACCCAATACTCTTGCACTCTCTGTTTGTCGGGACCTACTCTCCGAACCTTACAAATTAACCTAACCCAAGACCCCAGATCCTGAACTCCTATTGTGCTAGAGTCGAACGTGAGGAGTCCTAGCCTTGAACCAATCGGGCCCGGGGTTTGTAGCCTAAAGGAACATTGGCCTGGTTGGGTTCTGTAGTGCGTGGATTCTAGTTAATTCTTACTGACAGAGATAATTAGGAACCCTAACACTCAACCCTGACACCCCCTATATCCTATCCCCGGCGAAACATCCTGGAACTCCTCCAACAAAGCTGCCTCTGTCATAGAAACAACACCAGTAAACCCTGAACTAAACTAATTGAACCCTAAGCCCCTAAGCCAATCTGAGGTATGGTGGTCTGGAGCATCAGATCTCGACTCTGGGTCGGAAGTCCGAGGATTTTGCGGGCTGCAAAAATCCTGTCTAAAGTCTAGAGCCTAGAGCTCAAAGCTTCGGTTTTAGGGTTTTGGGGCTGCTGGGGAGAGGGCTTGCTTTTTATTCGTAAGAAGTAGCTTGAGTCTTGAGGATTGACTTCAAGGCGTGGTTTCGGGAAAACTTCTGGCAGTGTTCAGAAAGCCTGAATTTAGCTTTACGAGATGAGCTCAAAAAAACATGTGGACGAACTTCGATAGGTGTACTTATATAGGTTATTGAATTATAATTTTATGAACACCTAACATTACCTAAAATCAGATGACCTTGCCAAGCTGCACAAGACCGCTATTCCCAAACGACAAGTTTATGTGTCCTGGGAACCTTGCCGAGGGCCTAGGGCTCGGCCTCAGATACTGGGTAACGGTCCAATCGTTGGTGCTCTGGGGGCCTGCGTCGTTGTCTAGATTCTAGATCTATGTAATAATAACTAGTAAGGGGTACGAATAATGACAAGTATTTATCTCACGGCCCCCCAAACCTGCTGCCAGTCTTGGCTTTGCAGAAGGAACCCGAAGCGAGCGAACCAGAAATCCCCAAGCCCTGGAAACGAGAGCCCCAAGCCTAAAACTCAGAAACCTCAACTGGTTCGGTCGTTTGTATTATTTGGAACCAAGGCAGGCACATGTCTGCACCAAAGCCGCCAGTCGCTTCCGCCACAACGTGCTAGCCAAGGCAGCCTGCGAGATGTATCAAGGGCAAAGGATTCGATGTTGCAGCTTGGCGTGAATGTGTGTTCTGTGGTTTACATTTTACAGCACATTCACTCTTAGCTCTCTTCACTCTTCCGTGCCTGTGCCGTTGCCTGGTTCTCCTCCTGCTTCTGCTTGGTCTTCTTCGCGTGCTGTGCCCTGTCGCTGTGGACCGCTTCCTTGGATCTCTCTCTCTCTCTCTCTCTCTCTCTCTGATTTAAAGGCAACCGAGTGATGGAAGTGACAGCGAGCTAACTGGGAATTAAGAAAGTGTTTGAGGTGCTAACCGGCAAACAATCGCCCAAGCATTCGTACGGGAGGCGACCAAACAAAAACACTGGAGCAAAACGTCCACCCCCGGATCACGAGTGGCCTGGCGAGGAATGGGCTTTTGCAATCTAGGCTCGAGATCGCCACCGATCTCCTGGAGATCGGCCGCCGCCAAGCAACGGCCAGCTCCCGCCCCGGAGACCACAAAAGCGATCTGGCGAGTCGACAGATCGTCCAGCCTGTCCTGCCCGTTCTGGCGTTGCAGGTCCTTCTGGCGCAGACAAAACATTGCCTGCACCTCCGAAAAAAAGCCTTGCGAAGACTGGGATCCACAGGACTCAGAGTCGCTTTCTTTCTCCGACGAGGAGCCTGAGTATCCGATGCACTAGCAAAGGTCCTTGCTGAATGAGAAACGAGGTGTCGAGAACCGGGCCTTTCTTCTTCTTCTCTCTCTCAGCTTTGCCGTCTTTCTTATCCTTCTTTCCCTTTTTGTCATCCTTTTTGGCTGACTTCGCCTTATCCTTGTCCCCAGCATCTGCACCTGATGCGACAGAGTCTAGTTGTGTGCTAGTGACTATGCATCACCAGTCACCAGCGGGATAGGGAGATAAACCGCTACATACGTATGGCCTTCGAAAGCCTGGTCCAGGCTCCTCTTCGCTGCGGTCAGCAAGAAGTCTTTGGCGGGATCCATCGGCTCTGCGGCCGGCAGGGACTTCGAGGAGTGTGTCCTGTTTCGCAGAGTTTAGTCCCATATTGTATTTAGGGTTCAGGGCTTTAGTAGGGTTTTAGTCAGGGACTTACTTAAGGGCTTTAGGGTTTTAGTAAATTTAGGGTTTTGGCTAAGGTTTATTTCTTGAGTCAATAATAACAATTAATTTAATAAATAATATTATAGCACGAATAGTAATAGTTTATTAGGGTACAGGAGTAATAGTTCATTCTGAGCCGGAACAATCGGACTAGAGCTCGACGTAACATTGTGCGAAATCCCAAGAATAACATCGGCTGGAGCCCAAGGTCCTCGAAAGCCCACTTCTCGTAGACTTCCGCATGTCGGTAAGTGTGGCCCAGGAGCGACTACAAACAAACGGCAGCTAGCCAAAGCAACCCGATGGGCATGGGTTTTCAAGCCTAAGCCACGTCGGTCGAACTCATCTTGCCCAAGTTTTATATAGGAGCCTGGGTCCTAGGTCCTAGGAGTCAACAACATAGGCCCCTTCAGGTCCTACCTACACCCTTGCCCAAGCCAAAAGTCTTCATTTCAGCAAGCGAATGGCACATGATGCGATGACCCGGCAAGCGGCTGAGGTTGCAATCTGAGCAAGCGAGATGGCCCACTTGTGGCAGCAGCCTGTTTCTGCAGCCGAGCAGCCGAGACCGGATGGAGTCACCCTAAAAGCCCCAGTCATGTTCGGAGCACAAAGGCACAAAGCCTGATTAATTAGTAGCTGGAGACTAGCTATGCTACGTGTTAAAACAACAGTAGCCACAAGCCTCAGTTGATTACTAGCAAGCCGAACATTGAACACCTGCAAGGAACTGCGACCCTAAAATGCAACCCCAGCAGCCCGAATACTTCCGAGGTATGTTTGCAGCTACATAAGTCCTAGCTCATCCGCGAGGATACCAGTTGATATGCTATCCCAGGCTGCTGGCGGCATTCTCATTTCACCAGAAGCCGAAATCTCATCCAACCGATCCTGGGTTGCTGCACAATCAAAAGTCTGCCGAGCTAGGGCCCAGCGTGCAGCCAGGATCC